TGACGCGTCTGCCTCCGCGACCCGAAAGGAGAAGCGGCGATGGAAGATGATGATGATGATGATGATGACAGGAAACATGCACCTAATAAAAATGACTGAAAATGATAATTAACATAATAGGAATGAATGGCCTTATTCCTGAATATGAGAACACTTTAGAGCAACTTTCTGACATATGGTTTAGCGTACTGGAATTCGCCTTCACTTTGATATCTTCTATGATTCGAATATGTTACTGAACAACACAAGAGATCTGATTTATTCGAAAGAGCAAAGAGCAGACAAACTGCAAAAACATTATCAGAACGACGTTCGAAGAAAAAACTTTTTCGCCGATCTGCCATAAGTAAAACCGGATCTTCGGAAACCACATACGAAGAAATACCCGAACTCGACTTCTACCACCGTCGTCTTGTCCAATCCTTTGGCGTCCAGTGTATGCATGTGTGATCGATTTTCAACTTCCTCTTCCGATGCAATCTACTGAAAACAAATGTGCTGTTCGAGTTTAAGCTTGACGTTTAGTTCAAATTTTAGCCTTAGTTCAGACGAATGACAACATAAATGTACAAGTAGGAACGGCGATCGTATTACTTCATGTTTCATAGGTCCTTCCCTAGCCATTAAAATCTGCAAAGTATCCTTTTCTACGTATGCGCTGTTTGCCAGGGCAGAGCACAGCGCTAGGAAGTCGGTTTCGAACTTCAGCACTGCCGGATGCGATTCCCTCATAAACGTTAATTCTCTTGAGCAAGTAATTCACCCCACCCTACTTCTGTGCAGCCAGCAAACAAACCGATAACAAGTGGTAGACCTGCGAAAGATACATAAAATATGGTGTCTTGGTATGATCCTACCAGAATAGCCGAGAGGTACAGTGTGTTAGGACTGTAGTCTGGCCCCTGCCCCGTCCGCCTTGTAGTTGACTGTTCGGTGTGATAGATAATCAGTACAAGATGTAAACCTTATTGCCGCTGAGGCACTGTCTTGTTAACGAGTCGTTATTTTTTGCGCTCGTTCAGACCACGAATCTCATGCAGAAGAAAGATTTATTTAGGGATTTACTTTGGCCCTTATCGCTTCCTTTCACGTTCGTAGTCAGTACTTTTCTCTAAAACACCTGCCCTAAAAATATGCAGCTCTGCCAACTACTTCTAAAAATACCTTATTAGCAGACGATCTTTTATTCATAACGGACCCTTAATACCACTGTAGTGAAACAGGATTATATACTACACCATGTTTTGCCCTTATTTTGGTTACTGCTAGACATTAAAGTTACACTGTAGAATAACTAAGATTTCATTTTATGCTAACCATATTTTGCCGTGCTGGTTCTTGAATTTTTCCACAGTTCAAAACTAATTAATACAACAATTACTAATTAACAGTAGCTAAGTTTCAATCGTAATAAACCTCTTTTAGTTTAATAATAGAAAACAAATACCCTAATCAGGAAACACAGTTTAGCAATACACTTGAGAAGGCAAAATCATGGAATTCAAAATTCATATATTACTCCAAGGCTTCCATAGTCTCCCTGTTCAGTACAACGATGTACTGTCCTTTGTAATACTGAATAACGTTTATATGCTGCAGCGTGGAGATGACGTCTTCCTTTTTGATGCTGGTACTGTCAGAAATTTCCCTTAAAATAATTTTTAGTAACAACAAACAGAAACGAAAACGTTTTTGGTATACGAAACACTGATCTGTAGTCTTTCGCCATCACGGGATTTTAGATTCACCAGAATATCGAGTATCGTTTCTGCCCAGTAACTTCTGTACGACAACAATCCGAGATCGGAAAGGGGTTTTTCTGGTGAGCCGGTTTTGCCTTCGAACTTGGACAATTCATAACCTGAAAAGAAACGCTTGTAATCAATCGACTTAATTAATTAAGCAGTAAAGTGTGAACCATTCCTATAGTGACAAAGAAGTGGCACATCAATGCGAAGACGTGTCTTCAAATTTTTCCGTCACTTATGATCAAGAGAAGGAAAGGAAGGAAAGTTTCTAATCGTTTGAAAGTTGGTCTTCCTTAATTTTTGAGGATGAAGCCATTTCTTGCGCCCTTCTTTTCATAAAACTAAGAACAGAGCGCTTATTTCTATTTTTTTGCCAAGATGCAAAGTCTGCAGCCGCTGTTGCAAACATGTGTAGTCTAACGTTTCTTTCTCTTAGAACAGTACTCATAGGAGTAGTATCAAGCTCGGAATAAAGGAAGACTTCATCGGAGTTCGAACTCGGGATCTATCGACTGGATGTTGATTAAAACAATGCGACTCCTGATATTACGTTTTTCTCGAAATAACTGTTTGTGTGACACCTTGAAAGAGCTTTGCAGCATTAGATCCAAAATGCTTTAGGTGTTTAGTCATTCCTTTTCTAGATAATGAGACTACATAAGCGATTGTTTGGACATATGATAGAATGTTAGGGATTAGTCGTCCAAACGGAGTCCATTAGCAAAGGTCTTATAGAAACACAGAAGACCGTCAGATCATCGAAAGTCCATCAAAAGTCCGACTTCCTCTCTGTGTTGCTGCAATTCCAAAAATGAGCGTAAGAAATTTGCTTCACATTCTTCACAAGAATTTGTCCAGATTCGTTCACAGTTTCCTGCTGCGGTGGAAGAACAACAACAACACATTGGAATACATAGCGCATTGTTTATCAATTGTAAAATCTGACTATAATGCTGCCGTTCTTAGAAGACGCGACTTGTACTTCTTTCCTATTCACGTAACACGCGTTTACTTACATGACTCTCCCTTCCCGGCTATAAAGGCTGTGCGACGACGACTTGCATCCATACACAGCTACGACTTCGTTAAAGTGGTGGTTGGTTTTACGCTACCGCTACGGTGGTCATATTTTTTCTCTGACTCAGAAATCTAATCTTGGAGGAGTCATTCTTTATTTGTCTAGCTTCTTATCAAAATATATCGGGTCTGCCTCCACGAGCTGCCTTCCTGACTTGTGTTGCGGTTGCAGTCATTAAGCGCGCCGAATGCCACTGAAGGGTCAGAACGTGTACTTTACTGATGATAAAACATACCATATTTGCTTTGGGACCATTTTGTCTAATTACTGAATGAGACAGTTAATACAACGGCCCAACCTAAATGGACCATAGGCATAATTTATTTTAGCATCTCTGCCATTCCATCCATCCATTTAGCTTTCTGTAACAGAAACAATAGCAACAGTTCAAACTGGTTTACTGAATAGTTCAGAAACAGCGCGGTATTCAATTCTTACTGAATTCAATCAGAAGCTTTCCGTATCCTTTTCTTTGGTAAGGAGGAAGCACCAAAATACATGCTACGTTGTAGTCGTCGGCGGATTCCTTCTCCTAGGGTAAGATACTTGCAATTTAGTCAAAACAATAAGAATGAAACAATTTAAAATTTAAAACATGTGATAATAAAATTGATACTCGTTTTTACACTCAACTAATTTACACTTTGCTAGCGCATGAACCTAAACCATTTCTCCTAAATGCCTATAATAAAGTATCTTTACACTGTACGTACATACTACATCTGACGACTATGACATAGGTACAATATACATGATGTATGCTATACAAAAATATGGTAACGTGATATAATATAGCACTACTATATGTCATATACTATATAAAAAGATAACTGTACTGGTATACTAGTAAAAATGTGCTAATATCAATATATCATATATACGAAATGATACGATATTTACTGACAGTGAAAATGCTTAAATATTGTGGAGCCATGACCTATAGTTTCCTTAGCATCTGGCAGAAAATAAAAATAGTGGTGCTGTGCATCATTAAGTGCAGTTCTGCAAGAATCTGTTCTTATTACATACATGCAGTAAATAAAATAGACTAGCCTTGTGATAAATAGTACGTAAACTATTGGCGGCATACTACAGATTATATTCTGGCACCTATGACAATACTAATATAT